GGAAGTCCAGGACCTGTGGAACCGAGGCTGCAGCTGGACAGAGACTCTTAGCTTGGCACCAGTCCGCAAAGGCCACCCAGGAGGCGTTGTAGATGCGTGTGGTGGACTGCCTCCTGGATGCCTCTACTGTCCTGATGATACTCTCGGAAAATTGTGCCTCCCTTAATTGTTCCCTCTCAATTGCCAGACGATCAGATGAAGCCACTCCGGGTCCGGATGCTCCAGAGACCCCTGGTGTAGAGCCACCTCCCCCGCTGGGATCCTCGAGTGGAGAGCTGTGGACAGATCCACGATGTCTGCCAGCCAGGGGCGGCGAGGCCAGAAGGGAGCCACCATTATCATCCCTGCTCCCTCCGCCACCACCCTCCTCAAGACCCCGGGGATGAGGGGAAGGGGGGAAAGGCGTAGAGAAGACCTGGTGGCCATCTGCATCGAAGGGCATCCGTGTCCATTACTCCCTTGGTCGGAAACCTCAATACGAACTCTGGCAGCTGGGCATTCTGTGGGATCACGAAGAGGTCCACTGTCGGATGTCCAAACCTCTTGCAGATCTGACGGAAGATTGAGGGGTGGAGTTGCCACTCTCCGTTGTCGACCGTCTCCCTGCTGAGCCAGTCTGCCTGATGATTTTCTGTTCCGGATATGTGCTCGGCTCTGATGGACTGTAGGTGTCTCTCTGCCCAGTTCCCCAGTCGCAGGGTCTCGTCGCGAAGGGCCTTGGAGTGGGTGCTGCCCTATCTGTTCACATGGGCCTTGCCGCTACTTTGTCGGTCAGGACTAGGATGTGATGTCCTGATACCGTGTCGTTGAAGTGGCAAAGAACCAGATGGTTGGCTCTGAGCTCCAACCAGTTGATGTTGTTTCGTAGATCTATTGGAGTCCAGCGGCCCTGGGTGATCTGGTTCTCCAGGTGAGCCCCCCAGCCAAAAAGATTTACGTCTGTGATGAGGGTCCTTCTCGTCGGTTCTCTGAAGAGGCATCCCCTGCTCAAGGCTGGGGACAGCCACCAACGGAGGGATAGCAGCACCTGGGGTTACACTCTGATCCTGAAGGTCCCGGCTTTGCTCGTCCCGGCTCTCTGGTGAGGCAGTAGGAACCACTGAAGCTCCCTGGCGTGTAGTCGAGCCCATGGCACGATCCCTATGCATGAGATGAACTTCCCCAGGAGCCTGGAAAGAAGAACTACAGGGACAGAGCATAACTTGTGAACCTCATGGATCATCTTAATGATGCTGTCCTTGCGATTTTGTGACAGAAAAACCTCCCCAGACACTGAACCGATAATGGACCCTAGGTGAAGGAGCCTGGTGGATGGTACCAGGTGACTCTTCTCCAAGTTGGTGGAGAAGCCCAGGGCCCTAAGGGTGTCGATGGTGATTCCCAGGTTCCTTTCAGCCGAGTCAGGCAACCTGGCTAAGACGAGGATGTCGTCCAAATAACAGAACAAGCGGACTGGGAGGGAGCATAAGTGACCTGCAGCTGCTGCTAGCACCTTGGTGAATGCCCTGGGGGCTGAGGCCAGCCCAAAGGGAAGGGCCCTGTATTGGAAG